CTCATTTCTACACGTTGTAGCAACACAGAAACTAACAAGTCTACAACAGTTGTTACAGTCTCAGTTCTACACGTTGTAGCAACACAGAAACTAACAAGTCTACAACAGTTGTTACAGTCTCAGTTCTACACGTTGTAGCAACACAGAAACTTACAAGTCTACTAAAGCTGTTACAGTCTCAGTTCTACACGTTGTAGAAATACAGAAACTAACAAGTCTACAACAGTTGTTACAGTCTCAGTTCTACACGTTGTAGCAACACAGATATTAATCTGATCTTTTAACTACTTATACTATTTGTTGGCCCTTTGGTGACTCAGAAATAAGCTTCAAGGCTTATAGTCTAAATCTCGGGGTTGAATCCCTAAGATGGGCACAGCAGAGATAGCCCATTGTTTATCTTTGTGCTCAATAACAAGTAAACAAACATTTTTCGTCTATAGATAATATTTTTAATAAAAGATATCCTTGTAGTGGTTATCCTGTTCTTAATACCCTTATAATAGTCATACTTCTGTTAATTAACAATATTATAGTGTTATCCCTGTTTTCAGTCTGTTCCATATTGTTGCTGGACAACCAGTGATGTTATTGGTGCCATTCAACAGATAACAGAGTGAACTACGTAAACACTATGTTAACACTTTACTAAAATTCAACAGATAACAGAATGAACTATGTAAACACTATCTTAACACTTTACTAAAATTCAACAGATGACAGAGTGAACTACGTAAACACTATGTTAACAGTTTACTAAAATTCAACAGATGACAGAGTGAACTACGTAAACACTATGTTAACACTTTACTAAAATTCACAGATAACAGAGTGAACTACGTAAACACTATGTTAACACTTTACTAAAATTCACAGATAACAGAGTGAACTACGTAAACCCTATGTTAACACTTTACTAAAATTCAACAGATAACAGAGTGAACTACGTAAACCCTATGTTAACACTTTACTAAAATTCAACAGATGACAGAGTGAACTACGTAAACACTATGTAAATACTATACTAAAATTCACAGATAACAAAGTGAACTACGTAAACACTATGTTAACACTTTACTAAAATTCACAGATAACAGAGTGAACTACGTAAACACTATGTTAACACTACACTAACTACCCCTCCCCCAGTGGCTCAACGGTAAGTCTAGGGGTTACATCGCTAAAAAGGGGTTCTATATTCATGGTGGGCGCAGCTTAAAAACAAACAAACGCTCCATTAAAGTTTTAAGAACCCCGGCTTTAGACGTTGCTCGGTAGGTTTTCAAATACATTTCAGCTCCCACCCCTTTTTAAAACTATTTTATTGTTTCCTGAAATTTTGAGCTCTTCAGACTGTTAATAATTTAACTTTTAACCGAATACTTTTACGTTTAATTACACTTCTCCAAGTTAATCTAGTTCACACTGAAACAATTGCTTTTCGAGTGATATAAATAACGTCTCAACCAGCCGGCGCCGGCCTGGTGAGTTCTGGTCTTATCCGAAAGAACTCGTCGGCCCTCGTTCTAACAGATATAATGTGGTTGACATTCTCCTCATTACTTCTCATAATTCCATTTCAAATATCACTATATTTATTAACTAACTGATTATAGTCAGAAACTTAGAGAGATGTTTCTTCTAAGCGATCAAATAAGAAATAGATAAATAAGGCTTAGCTGTAATTAACTCGCGCGAGTAACGAGCTTTAAGGTAATTTGTCCAGCTGGACACGTTTATGGTAGGATCGCAGAATCTAGTTAAGATTCTTAACACGAGGGGAGTTCTGCCAACTGAAAAATATCTCATTCTCAGTGGAGTTCTTTTAAATCTTAATTGTTAAACAGTTGGCAGCTTCAGAGACAAGCCGCAAGGCTATACATTTCAAATCACGTGACAGGAGGCACCCTTTCTTTCGTCACCACTAACACCACTTTGACCAAGAATGTCCACTGAATCTTAAGCGTGAAATGGAATTATCCAAATTCTGATGGTCATAAGAACATACTATATATTATCATATGTTTAAACTGTATATATATATATATATGTGTAGGTTTCTAGTGTTTCTATGTATATATATTATCATATGTTTAAACGGTATATATACATGTTTATGTTTCTAGTGTTTCCATGTATATATATTATCATTTGTTTAAACGATATACATGTGTATGTTTCCATGTATATATATTATCATTTGTTTAAACGATATACATGTGTAAGTTCCATGTATATATATATTATCATATGTTTAAACGATATACATGTGTATGTTTCCATGTACATATTATCATATGTTTAAACGATATACTTGTGTAAGTTTCTAGTTTCCATGTATATATATTATCATATGTTTAAACGATATACATGTTTATGTTTCCATGTATATATATATTATCATATGTTTAAACGATATACTTGTGTAGGTTTCTAGTTTCCATGTATATATATTATCATTTGTTTAAACGATATACATGTGTATGTTTCCATGTATATATATTATCATTTGTTTAAACGATACACATGTGTATGTTTCAAGTGTTTCCATGTATATATATTATCATTTGTTTAAACGATATACATGTGTATGTTTCCATGTATATATATTATCATTTGTTTAAACGATATACATGTGTATGTTTCCATGTATATATATTATCATATGTTTAAACGATATACATGTGTATGTTTC